AGTCACAAGTTTTACGATTTCATCGAATTTGTACAAGATCTTCTGATTTCAACGAAGCCTGTACAATTGTTTTCTCAAAACTGAAAGAGCGTGGGTACTCTAAACGATTTTTACGAAACATAAAAAATTCCACCTTAGCACAGATAGCAGCTAAAAACAGACTTTATGCCGAAGTACCTCCAGGTTTAAGAAGTGCTCCATGTTTGTCCAGTAGATGCAAAACATGTCCCTTTATATCAGAAACTCATTATTTTTTAAGCAACTCTACGAATAAAAGGTACCCGATCCAGGAACATCTAACATGTGAACATTCGAATGTAATATATTTAATTTCATGCAAGAAATGCCCCAAACAATATGTAGGAGAAACTAAGAATAATTTACGAACTCGCTTTAATGCTCATAGGTCAGACATCAAATTAAAGAAAGACAAGCCTGTTTCTAATCATTTCAACCTCGACGACCATTCAATAGACGATCTCACCCTAATCCCAATTGAGCGTATAGAAATTGACTTGCCCGAAGATGAAACTACCAAATTCCGTCAGTCTAGGGGGGCCCATTGGATTGAGACATTGAATACAGCAAGACCTATAGGACTAAATATTCATCATAATGTAGGCATAGCACCCTTTGTTGTCCCGTTTAATACAACCAGCAATCGAGCAAGCAAGATAGTTCATGCCCACTATAAGAGCCTTCAAGAGAAATTCCCCCATGTCTATAAGTAGAAAATGATAGTTGCATATTCAAAAAATAAGAACTTAAATGATAATATTGTTCATAGTAAACTAAAAACGATCAGTACATAACAGATACTATACTTATCGCCCATCGGGCGAGTTATTTTTTCTTTTCAGGTCAGAATAAGAACAGAAGAAAACCCAATATCAAGACCCTTAATCCTAATTTCTAAATAAAGTGTCTGCTCCACGCTAGGCCTGTACATTTGGGGGAATCAAACCCTCCCTTCCCCGAAATCAAACAGAAGGTGGTTGTTTAGTTTCTTGTTTTCAAGATGTTGAGTGTCAGACTGTAAATGGAATTATCTGTGTCGATGCAAGTGAACAGGTATCCCTTCCCATATTAACTTATGATGACATCAAATCAGATGCACAGAAAGTTTTATTTTATACAGGAATTCCAGATGGCAACACGTTTGATGCTTTGTTTGACGAGATAAAATCTGATACAGAGGAGAGAACAATAAGGGGAAGTGGAACAAACTATGGATGTGGTGGTCGGCCCCGCATTTTACGTTGTATAGATGAGTTTTTTGTGGTCCTTATGCTAATTAGATTGGGTCTGCCGTTAGAGGACTTAGCATATAGATTTTGTATATCAACAACATGTGGTGATATTTTCAATAGGTGGATTGATTATCTAGATAATCAGTTATCTGTTCTTGTCATGTGGCCCAGCAGAGATGTCATAGATTGCAATATGCCTGAAATTTTTAAAAATAAGTTTCCGACAACAAGAGTCATCATAGATGCTACAGAGATTCGAACGGAGACACCTTCATCATTAAAGTTAAAATCTTTAATGTACAGTGACTACAAATCACATGACCTGGAAATCTTTAATTAGTCCAGCTGGCATTGTCACTTATGTATCAGATCTTTGGTGCGGGAGTATTAGTGACAAGCAACTCACCATAGAAAGTGGGTTAGTTGAACTCTGTGAACCAGGAGATTCTATTATGGCTGATAAGGGCTTCATCATATCTGATTTGACCACCCCCAGAGGAATAAATTTGATTATACCCCCATTTAAGAAGAAGCAAGTGAAATTTTCTAAACAGGATGTTAAAAGAACAAAAGACATTGCAAATGCACGCATTCACGTAGAGCGCCAGATAGAAAGGATCAAGAATTTCCGCATTGTACAAGGTGTCATTCCCATCACCATGGCTAATCAGGCATCAAAGATATGGCGATTATGTGCAAGATTAACAAACTTACAACCCCCTTTGGTTCCAGAAAGTAGATTTAGATCTTCTGATTAATCTGGAATATTCTTATTTATATATACGGTTTCAGCTTCAATCAAGAATTTGTTTTAAGGGATTGTAAAGAGGTTTTAGAAATTTTTAATGTGTATTGGGAAAACTGATAGCATCAATTTGCACCAATCCAATTTTCAATCAGACGTCCGTAGTTCCTACAATTCCACTAAAACTTAATGTTTGATGACGTCACTAATCGCAAAGTATACTTTATCTTTATCACTTAAGGTCATTTGCGATTAGTGACATCATCAAACACTTAGTTTTAGGTGAAATGCAGGAACCACAGACATCTGATTGAAAATTTGAATGGTGCAAATTGATGTCCCCAATTCACATTAAAAATTTAGAAAACCTCTTTACAATCCCTTTAAGATATCTCTGACTTCCTTAATAATAACTAGCCCAGTAAAAAAACTTGTAGGTTATGACCTACCATCATATGACCTTTGATCTTGTGGGTGCTTTCATAACCAACAAATTGTTTACTTGGCTTGTCTATGTTAAAGATGTCAGAGAAATCTAAAATAAATTATCTATTCAAGTGGAAATCAGGCTCTCAGCTGTTTGATTATATAATTATGTGCAACATTCCATAGATATGTGATTGTTATATTTAAATTAAATATCTAAATTTGTTTTTATGGCAAAAGTTGATTCAATATTAAAATATTGAGAATTGCTTGTGTTTGTGCAAAGAACACGCAAAACAAACAAGTTGAATATCCCATCTACATGTTAACATAACATTTGAAAAATAAAAACAGTTGTCATCTGCCTTTAAAAAGTATTTATTATGGAATAGGTCCAACAAGAAAATAATAATATTTAACTACTTCAAACTGGACTAGCTGTTGCAAATAAATTGTCTCCCTTTGATTTCAATGATATCTGCGAGGGTTGCATGTGACAATTGAAGAATAACATCTGATATTATATAACTTAAACAATTGCGAACAACTTAAACAAGTAACAATAAAAACAAGACTTGCTATGCAAAAATACTAGTGAAGATTTAGACATCACATAAATTGTAAAAATAAATATTTCTTAATTGCATATGAATACAAAGTCGAGTATCATTAAGATCAAATGAAAACTACCTATCTATATCAAACTTGATGTGTTTGTATTGAGTCAAGGGCAATAACTATAAAACATTGAATATTTACATGTGGATTTATGGAAATAACATGAGTCCTCTCAACACACGTGCACTAAATAGTTCAGGAAGGAATTCCCTGTAAAAAAACATTTAATTTATCACGAATGTCAATCCACAGGTCTGGATTAAACATTATCCTCTGAATTGATACCGCCCCACTACAACAAAATCGCACCATTTCCTTCCTGAGATTGCCATCTGACCCTGCACTTGAAAGTAGTAATTGTGACTTTCTTTCAATTTGACCACTCCCTCATTATTAAGGTAACAAAAAAATTTAGCATCTTTTGCACATTCACTCTGAACATGTGCAGTAAACCAGACCATCAGGGCTAGCTCCTAAGTGTGGGAATTCAGTGTTAACAATTAGTCCACATTGTTTCACAGTAAGTCCAGGGTGAAACTTTTTAATATTACGCAAATATGTCTTTCTTGCAGCAGACAGATTTTCGTCGACAGCACTCGTCTCTTGGCGACGTTTTTAGGGGGGTGGGGGGTATTTTAGCCTACCCAATGAAAATCTTGAAAATTAAGTTAATTTCCTTGTATTTGAGGCATTTTCCTTGAAAAATGCTCGCCTTCTAAGAAGCGATTGTACCCCAAAAAAAACAAAATTTATGCAGATATCCTTGCTGAGGCTTCTTTATCCTTGACGACATGTGTTGCTCGCCTTGTGTTAACTCGTTGGCGGAATATCATATTATATCTCTTGCTTATTAATAAGAATGGTTTTTAGGGCGATACCTAGACCGACAAGTTGACTCTAAATAATACTACCTACTCCGAAAGTATTGAGAGACAGGTTGTTCCGGTCAATGAGATAACCATCCTTTCATCCCACTAAACTTCGGGTTAAATTCCTTGGCTCTGGGGCCATACCAAAGAGCATTTGCGTTAGCGTGTTACTTTACTTTGGTTTTTCTTGTAATTTTACTCATTTTCAGTTACTGTTATATCTAGCTATTTTTTTACTGTGACAAAATTTTTCAATGGTCCATTTCTCTTTTTTCCCGATGGGCCGAAGGAAACTGCCAACTTTGCCTAAAGATTAATCTGCCTCTGAGACAAAGGTCCATCACACTAAAGTGACAGAGTTCTTTTGATCAGACCAATCAGACACAGATTGGATGTATATAAAAAAAAAAAGTGTATAGTTTTAATTACATTAATATGTACAAACTGCTAAATATAATACAGTGGTGTAAAAAGACCTTACTCAATGTGTTTGAGATAAAAAATATATACAATTTGTAAGAAAAAAATAAGTACATTAAATACATCAGGGAAAAGATACATCATTTTGCTCATTTTACATGACTAGATACAAATTTAATAATGGATAAAAAAAACCTGAATCTAAAAGTCAGTGCAAGTGCTGCGAGCGGGCTACCCAACCCTACTCCATTTTATGTTCTCATTTATCCATGGAGGGGGAGGTAGGATTTATCCATGCTCAAGACCAGCTATAAGATGTTTACTCATCCCCTGCAAATTGAAGTAAAATTAAAAACTAATTAATTGACAATTAACACAGAATGTTTATTATTTCCTGGCTGAAGCAAGGTCAGCTTTAAAACTTGCACAAACTAAAAGGAAATTGATCTACAATAGTGTAAATAACAATTTTAATTAACTTTTTCAATGTAGGCTATTTTAAATCAATACATTCTGTTTAAAAATAAAAATATTTGTATCTCTCCTAAAGGAACTTTATACCAACATCTTATTTGAAATTTCAATCTTCAACTTTATCTTTTGTCATTCACTGTCCTTTAAAAAAAATTGTTTTGTTTAATTTATGGCGTACACTAATTTTCATTTTTAGATTATGACATTTCACAAGATGATGTATTCGTAGATTAAAAAAAATAATGTTACCAATGATCTAATTAAAGAAAAATAATGATTATTTAGACCTTCTTTTTGGTGTTGTTCAGCACTGAAAGCGTTATTTGTTCCCATTTCAGACAAAACTTTCTGTTGAATCTTTAGCAATTTTAAATTATTTTTGACATCTGACAATTTAGTATCATGTGAAATTCGTCTAATCGTCGGTGGGATATCAAAAGGTCGTATATCCGAATTTTCAAATTTTTCAGGAAATGCAAAAAACTCCCAAAAGACTCAAAATTAATTGAATTTTTACCAAAATTGTACCGAGTGCTCATCTTTTCAAACTTGACTTAATGAATTAAAAATCAAAAAGTATGTTGTGTCAGATCATGCACGTGTCAGACATACGTCATTTTTGTTACAAAAGTCTGATATTTTGAGATATACATCCTTTTGCATATTTTTTCTAAACAGCATTGTATCTCAACAAAATATTCATCAATTTGAATTTTTCGGTTGTCTAAGAACTTTTTGATTTAAAATAGTAAGTTTTTATTTTATTGTCGCTATAAATAGGATATGTCTTTTTATTTCTTAAATATGTGCATGAAAGACGAGGTACGTCCTAACTTGTTCAAAGTAACTGGCACATTTCATGGTTCAAGGCCCAGAAAGGTAAGTACAACAGGTACATGGTTCAAGTTTCAGCAAGATAAGTCTAACAAGTACATGATGTAAGCAAAGTAAAGTAGGTTTTTGGTTCAAGGTCGAGCAAGGTAAGTATAGTAGGTGCATTGTTTAAGATCCAGCAAGGTAAGCATAAAAAGTATCTGACGAGGTAAGTACAGCAGGTACATGGTGCAGGGTCCAGCAAGATAAGTATAACCCGTAAATGTTTTAATATCCAGGAAGGTAAGCAAAACAGGTACATGGCTCAAGGTCGAGAAGGTAAGTATAATAGATACATGGTGCAAGACCTCGAAAGGTATACGGCTCTAGAGGCGTTTCATTAGCACAGTCTGTTTAATCTGACAAAATGACATAGATAAGAGCAAGTAGGATTATAATAATTCAATCAATTTATAATCAGAAACGTTTCATTAAATTTGTTACAACACAACATAGCACTATAGCTCATATTTGGTCAATTAATCATGCAAAAGGCCCTCATAGAATGGGTGATAGTCCTGAGGCAAAACAGACAGCAACTGCTGAAGATGCTGGTACTTAGACGAATTTATCTTAATTGGTCCGGAGTGCAATCTTGGTATTGCATCTAAAGGTGATGCAGTAGATATTTTTGACCTTCTTGGGATGAATATTCATCATTATAGTTTATTTTGTACTTTATTATTCCATCTGGAGTGTACTGTATAACTCGCAAATTAGTTACAACTGGATCACCTACTTTCGTTCCAGCTCTAATAGAATTGCAGTAGATAGGTCTGTTTCTGATCTTTTGTTCAATTGTACTGTGAACACTGTCCACTTCCATCTGAGTGTGACCTTTCTCCAAATACTTCTGGACTATGGTAATATCGTTGTTGGCTGCACACTTGAGCAGGGTGTTAGACATGGTAGTGTTACGGTTTTGGTACGTACATACTCGAATATGCATGAAGCAAAAGTATTGGCTGTTAGTTCACCTTCGCCTTCATGCCAAAAGAAGCATGTTACATCTTTTAGTAGCCAAATCGTATATCGTAAAATTGTGGCATGCCAGCTTGGTTTTATAATACATTGCTGATGCTTGTAATCGAGGTGATGATAATACAGCCTGTAAATCCATGGTAAGTACCTTGACAGATTCATCATTTTCAGCAACAAGCTTATCTTGTACCTTAGATAGCCGTGCATCAGCCTTCCGCTGGATGTGATTGTCGGATACATCTTTAGTCAGATTCTGATTCTCGAACGCACAGCAAACATCACACTGATCTTTTTTTGGTCGAAAGAGTGCCGAATTTAACTCATCAAAGACACTGTGGAATGCTTTCTTACAAGGAGCAGTACCAGCATTTGACAAACAATGATCTTTGTAAATTCTATATAGATCTTCAAATGAAACGAAGATGGGCTCTAAATATGATTTAGACGTTGATGATCTGCAGTAATGTGAAGGTAATTTGCATAAAGACTGCAGAAAATCTCTAGCTTGATCATGTTGAACTCCGGTTGTCTTCAGTACCTTTCGTGATCTCTTTGGTGCTTTAGCAGGTGATGGTATACCAGATTCTGAATGGTTTAACCAGCGGTAAAGAGCTTTCTCCCAAATCGAGAGTTGTAAGGAACATTTGCTTGCAAGTAGTGTAAGATTTTTCATTTAATTGCAAAGAGTAGACGAAACTTTGTTTTTTTCGGAATATTCCATCTGTGTTACCTTCTACTTTACGCTCCGCTACTTTCTTTTTAGACACTGAATGGACTACTACGCTCTGCTTTTGATGCCAATTTAAAGCCCAAAATTTATTAAACAAGGTAAGTCTATCGTCCTCAGAGAACACAACACAAAATCTTTGTTTAGACTTCTTGCAAAAATCAGTACAGCCTCGTGGACGCAGTTGCCGTCCTGGTTTTTGTACCTTTAAACTTTTTCCATTTTCAATTATAGATCCTGTGTAATCTTTTCCCTTCATACGTCGATTCATATTTACATTTCTTGTCCAAAGATCCGGATTTGCTAGTTTATTTGGCTTGAGTTTAGCAGGTGTCAAGTTTTCATCTTCAATTGTAACTTCCTCTTCTTCATTGCTGTAAGCGTCTAAAAACTCTCTCCGTTTGGGTCTGTAAGAAAGGATCTACTACAGAATCATCAAGATCTGTTAATTCATCCTCTGATAATTGGCTGTACATAGGACGTTCTTTGTTTTCTGGAAGTGACATGCTTCTTGTGGCAGTTTCATTGGAAGGCATTATTTCATTACTTTGAAAGGTAAATCTTGGACTCCATGTATAAACAAGACTTGTATCATTTGGTACTCTTGGTTCCAATCGTCTAAATTTTAAACGTTCTCCATTTTCTTGAATATCAAATATTGAGTTGTTCGCATTATCTTGTTCTTGGCTAGTTGTGTATTCTATTAGGTTATCTGTCAAAACCATAGGTTCATTCTTTCTCTTCATTGAGATATCTGATTGAAGAATACTTTCAATCATTTTCGGTTATTGAATTTATTTTAGATCTGGATTTCAGGGACAACAATACAAGCTGCTGTCCTCTGGAAGATGGTCTTTTCGACATTTTCTGCAATAAACAAGAACAAATGAAATAGAATGATGTATCCATGCAAAAAGGACGTATATCATTTGACGTTCTCGATAGCGATACTTAAACGATGATACGGTATCATTACTGTTTAAGAAGTTGGTATTTGAAATAGGCCAAAGTCGGGTGATCACAGAACAAGTAAAGCTGCTAAAATGAATGAAATAAATAGATTTAATACGTTTTTTATTCCCTTTTCTTACCTCATCAAAGTAGGCTCCTTATAACGTCAGTTGTTTTTGTAGACAAAGATATACGTCTTTTTGACATACATTATTTTAAGCCAATCGATAGACATCCTTTAATCATATGACCCAATATGTCACTTTTAATTGGCTGGGAGATATGGTATCTGTACCATTCGATGCTCCTATTCACGGGGGTCACGTTAGTATATGTTTCTCTGCACACATGAGAATTTGAACTACTCCATTTGAAGGCAGAATAAGTCCGCCATTTTGTTTGTTCATGAGTAAAAAAAAAACTAGACTGTGGTTCCTTTAAAGGTTGATTGGCAACAAGCAATTCTTTACAATCTGCACAATTGACTTTTGGCATTATTCTTCGAATAACCCATCCTGGAAAAATAAGCATTAATATTCAAGGATGAAATCATTTTGATTGATTTGATCTGTTAAGCTGTATCAGTGTATCACATAACAACCTTAATATTCTTTTCAATGTTAGATTTTACACACAAAAATAATTTTAGTAACTGAGATTTCAAGTATGAATTGTTTACCTGCAATGAACACCACAACATTTTCTACAATCGGTTCCATCCTATTTGTATCATATGTATGATCTATACCAGTCCAGTCAGTGACTGGCTCATCAAGCGTTGCATCATTGAGATCAACAGGTGGCACATAGCCATCAAGTGCACATCTGACAAGTGTTGTTTCTTCACCTAACAAGACCGAACTATTTCCATATTTAGATACCTATATGTAAAGTAATGAAACAATTAATCCTTATAGGTACTAAACTATTAATAAAAACATCAAGCTGCAGACAGTACTAACCAGTGCAGTAAGACTACTGGAGTTGAGGTTTGGCTAGATAGCCACCTCATATGATCCAACATGGTTTTATCGTATCATGTTAGAGTGCTCAAACCGGTACACTAGTGGGGCAAGCATATATGCTAGAGACAATGGTACACTCCGGATAGAGTGCTCAACAGACATAAGCCATGGAGTATATCTAACTGAAGGCACTACTGTTTCGTTATTTACTATATATTAACTTACTGTCAAGGCTCCACAGTGGCTTATTATCTTCCTAAATGATCCCATAAAAGCAGTTGGATTATTATTCTATCCAGCTGTAATGATGATTAGTACTTATTCAGTATGATATTCAGTTTATGGGTGTCAACAATTGAAATATTTCGAAATGATTCATGAATGTATCCCCCTTCAATAGTAATAGGTTTATTCATAAATCATATATTACTGGAACTAATGATACAGGCAATAAAAGATGATCATATTAAAATCTTTTAGAACTTACATGTTCGACGGACTGCATTAAAGAATAGTTCCAAATGATCTTGTGAACACTTGTAGGTAAGAAAATACTTATGATTTACTAGGATTGCCTCCACCACTCCAATAACCGAATCAATGAGCATAACAAATCCTTTTATACACATGCTTCTAAAATAAATCATAAAATTGACTTCAGCTAATATATTATGTATCAATTGTTAATGAAAATTGATTTAAAAATGTCATTATTCCAGAATTTTTCATCCATTATAAAATATCAGACAAATTTTAAGTACCAACACCATGAAGTTCCTATCTATTAATCTAGAACAAAAGACAAAACATTTTCTAAAAAATACAACCATAAACCTGCTGTAAATAACAAAATTAAACAATAAACATGCAACTAATATTTTCAAATAAAACTAAAATCATATAAATATCCAACTAAATTTGTATCCTCTTTTTTACCAATTATCATTTCATTTGCTTATGAAATAAATGGAGAGTATATATATTCTAAATCCTGTTCCCGAAAGAAAAAGAGGTAACCAGTGTGTGTTGACTACACGTGATATCTATGGCCAGCCAGCCAATATAACGTCATTTGGGAGTCATTGAAATTTTTATCCATTTTTTTGCTACATCGGAACTTTGCATATATTTTAATTGCTTTACATTTATGTGCAGAAAAAATATGTTTTGTTATTTAGTCCTATATATTGTCAATTTTGATGGGGTAAGCTCCGTATAAGTGTTTAGAGTCGGATGCCTCCAGTCCCAGTTTGTGCGTGAATTCATTTATTATAGGCTATTCATATCTCTGCCCTTCTAGACGAATGTAGATACGCACTGTTAATTTTGAATCGGTTTTGTTTTTTATCTGAAAGTTTAAATTATGTAGCCGCTCCATATGAAAACCCGGGCGTTATTGATCCAGGATAACCCTTCGCACATTATGAGATGAAGTGATGATTCTTGCAATAAGCTAATGGAAAGGCTCCTGTTTTTTTGCGAATCAATGGCACTAATAATAGAAAAAAGGATACGTCAATTTATCAAACTGAAAACTATTCAGATGTATATATTTACATAGCACAATAAACACATATCATGATACAAAATAACGTATCATATATTATAAACACTAAATATAATACCATGAAATAATGGGTTTGGTATCAACTTAAAAGAAAACCAATCAAATGGGTCTAACTAATTTTGCGGAAACTGGCATTGCTACAATATGGATAACTATATTATTACCATACAATGTAACGAAAAAACTAGAACAAGAAAGAATAGTTGACGTCAATATTATGTAATGGTGCTCATTATATCTCACTTTTTACTTTTCAGTTTTGCTTCATTTTAAGAATAAAGCCGTGATATTAAAACATATCAATTCCCGCACAATACTTTGTACGTAATTGGGTGGTTTGATTAGTTGATTTAAACAATATTCATTCATTATTTACAAATTTTATATACATATAAATAAACTATGGTTTCAGAAACAAACTGATTATTTACCATTACCATTTGATTTATATATTCTTCACTATCCAGAGAATATAACCAGTTTACTTAAAACTTGGCGACTATTAGTTTTTACTTTTTGCTTTAAATCAGTAGTGTATTGCCTGCCGGCATAATAGTATCGTACCTGAAGGTATTTCTCAATGACGGCTTTTATCAAAAGTACTAAATGATTATTTAAACCTTCATTTTCGAACATGTGCTTCCTAAGACCGGCAAAAATGTTCTTATTGATATAAGATTCAAGAATTGAATTCACCAATTTTAGTCAGCTTAATTGAAGAAGAGAAAACATAGCGTCGGAAGAACTTTTCAGACGTAATAGGCCTACATATATCAACAACATCATTCGATGGAACTGTTAATGATCCTTTAGATTTCAAGGCTATCAATGAATGCACAGGTGAAAGTTGCGTTTCTGACAGAGCATTTACGCGTGTTTCACAAATTATACAACTTTTCAATTTAAAAACAACAAATCCAGCTATATAGGCAACAATTTTATGGGACAAAGATGACAAGAGATTAGGATTTGGCGTATAACTGTAATCTTCATGAATGGGCTGCAACATAAAACTATCATCGCACAATCTAAGAATTAATCAACTCAGATGCGGACACTTCCGTATCAACATTGTTGCACAGTATACGGCTTGACGTAGTCAAAATAGGGACATTTTCAAGAGCCAATCAATTTTCTGATCTAATATCTTGTATATTATGTACAAGTAACTTTTTATAAGACGTTTTGAATTGTCTACATGTAGGATTATTATTGCACCCTCCCATACTCCTAATTTTACCAAAAAAAAGTTCGATATGGTCTTGGCTGAACTTGTAAGTTAATAAAAATTGCATATTATATTTCCCTGTTAAAACCAAATCTTCGAATAAAGATTTAACACTCTCAATGCACAATAGAAAGCCTACGAAACCTGTTTTTCTATTACTCTTCAGTATACTGGGTCCTAATTTAGATTGCCGCAAAGATGAAATATATGATTTAGCAGTGGACAAAAAATTAATTATGGAAAGATAATTGGTGAGTTTAAGAGGAGCCTTTCATTCAAAAGACTTCAAATTTCGAGAATTCAAAACGTCAAAAAGCTCATCAAATAAACGTATGAATTCAATGGTCTTTTCACAACCCGAGAAGTCTTTGATATTTTCATTTAAGCAAAACTGCAGAGATGTTGCGACAGACTCGTTCAAAGTTTGCGCGGCTAATTTAACATTCATTTTCTTTTTGAACCATTCAATGTGACTGGCTTTCAATTTATTTCCGAAGTGCAGTTCTTCAACTTGTTGTAATTTGTGCAATGAAACAATATAATCCCACTTAATGATACGACTTTTACCAGAAACAATAGAACATTTCTCGGCGAGCGTATTACGAATTAACTTTAACATATGACATGCATCTAGAAATACATATACTTTTGAATCATTTATGGGATGAGAGAAATATGACTGAATATTATTAGGATCATCCCAATTAACACCTAAGCTACGTGACATGGACAAATTAGCTGATGCTCCATCATGGGTTAGGGAAGTAATTAAAACACCACTCTCATATAGTCTCTCAATACAACTCAAAACTAATGCCTTTCGCTCTTCTCCATTAAGTCCATTTATCAAAAAAAATCCAACAGGTAGCTTCCATGATGACTGTAAATCCACCACCATCATCGTCAAACCTTCTTTCGCCACTGGCAGAGAATCGTTATCCAGGTGAGTTCCCATGTCTATGTAACCTTCATACTTCTTGCCGTCGAACTCAATTTTCTGATGTATTGCTACCTCATCCATCATAAGCGCACAAAGCAGCTTTTCTCCTTTCGCCTCACTTCTTATTTGTAGAGCTTCAAACGCTGTGCTTGTAAACCCAGGCTCGTCATTGACATTGTGGTACCATTTACTAATTGTTCTTGGATGAGGAAGACAGGTGTCGAAAACTTTCCTTACATACTTATACGCTCTGGGAGAATAAAAATGTAACGTCAGAGTAAAGCTCCTCAGCTCTGGTGAATATGTGACAGGTAGAGACTTGTCTTCCAGTTTAGCTTTCTGGCGCTTGAGTAAGTCTGGTATGCCTCCAGAACAAGCTTCTAAGACATCTATGCTACTGCTGCTCATCACGGCCTGATTACGGAGATCATCAATGACATTTTTTAAGTTCTTTTTCTGTAGACGTCTTCTAGCTTGCATCAATGTCTTCATTTTTTTTCGCGAACAGACGAGTTGCTGGGTACTTTTCTCCAATTTTCTCTTTAATGAGGCTCTTTCGGGTGTGACGGGTGTATCATTGTCAATAGCTCGAAGATGTGGTGGGATTTCTTGAGGTTGAAGAATCAGTGGAGCAACTGGGGAAGTGCGCTCAGTTGGTGGACGTCGAATTTTCTTTTCATTTTGTAGATAAGATGGAAAAGCTTTAAATACTGATGGAATTGCTTCTGGAAGAATGCGTACTACATTTGGAGAGGTTCTGTCAAAATCTTCCCAATTGAAATGTTCTGAACATACCATAGATCTTTTTGTTGGCTCAAAGTTGAATCTTCTTAAGGCTTACGCGATTTTGTTTTTTCAGAACGTACGCGGTTTAATAACTTGCTTTTATATGCATTAGCGGATATACGCGGTTTTGATTTCAAAATTATTTATTTAATAAGGCTGTAAAATTGAAAACCATTAGAACAAAATACATTTTGTTTATTCAAAGGTGAATTAAGAAAGAAATATAAATAACAAGGAACTAAATGTGATGATATCTTCCTGATATTTTGAAATTATACAAACTAAACTGAACTGTATTACGTCCTAAGTTGTCCTGTCCCATGTCTTGTCCTTTATTCTGGGTTAACCTCCTGTTCTATTGGTGTGTTCTATCTACTGTCCCAAGTCCTGTCCTGTCCTGTCTTCTGTCTTGTCCTTGTCCTGTACTCTGGACTGTCTCCTGTCCTGTCCTGTCCAATCTACTGTCCTGTCCTATAATCTGCCCTGTCGTGTTTCCTGTCCTATATTTGGCCCTGTCTTGTTTCCTGTCCTGTCGTGTCTTGTACTTGTCCTGTACTCTGGTTTATCTCCTGTTCTGTCCTATCTACTGTCCTGTTCAATCTACTGTCAAGTCCAATTTACTGTCCTGTACAATCTACTGTCCTGTACAATCTACTGTCCCGTCCAATCTACTGTTCTGTCCTGTATTCTACCCTATCCTGTATTCTGCCCTGTCGTGTTTTCTGTCCTGTCGTGTTTCCTGTCCTGTATTCTGCCCTGTCTTGTTTCCTGTCCTGCATTTTGTCCTGTCGTGTTTCCTGTCTTGCACTCTGCCCGGTCGTGTTTCCTGTCACGTCCTGTATTCTTCCCGGTCGTGTTTCCTATTCTGTATTTTGCCCTGTTGTGTTTCATGTTTTGTCTTGTGTTCTGCCCTGTCGTGTTTCCTGTCCTGTATTTTGCCTGTCGTGTCTCATGTCTCGTCCTTTACCCTATCCTGTCTATTATTCTACCCTTCCTGTTTTCTGTCATGTCCTGTTTTCTGCCCTGTCCAGTTTCCTTTCATGTCCTGTAACCTTCTCTGTTGTGTTCATGTCCCGCCCTATTATCCTGTCCTGTTATTGAGCGAATACATTTTCAGTGAGCAAAAACAAAGATCTAAAACAAGATAACAATACTATTTACAATACAGATATTTTAAAACATTAAAGAAACAGGTGACCGGTTTCATTTTGTGACCTGGTGATAATGCACTAAAGTGTTATTCACGGGAAAGATTGTCGTAAAAACCATGAAAATCAGTTGGTATGACTAATTTCAAATCTTGCAAGTGGCCAAACTTTTTAGCTTTGATCTTAGGTTTAAAGGCATACAATTGTTGAACTTGAATATCAAACTGGGACATCCGATGTCCGTTTTCTGGGTATTTCTTGGAATTCATGACCGTAATTTAATTTATATGATATAAGACCATCTTTATATCTTAGAACTCTAATATTTGTCACAACTGGATCTCCACAACCGCGACCAGGACGAATAGACGTATAAAAGTTTAATTCTGAGTATTTCTTAAAGAAGGTACTATCTAGATATTTAACAGTGTATTGAGGTGAAACACGTGATGATTTGATAAGATCCACATAGTTTTGGGGTACGTATATTGGTTTATTACGTAATCTGCGTTCGATAGTACTGTGCATGCTATTGCACTCCATTTGCGTATGGCCTTTTTCAAGAAATTTCTGTGTGATTGTAATACCCTTTTCTTTGGAAATTTTCAGAAGTGCATTTGACAAAGTAGCATTCCTATTTTGGTATGTACATCCGTCACTGTATAATATTAACTCGTCTATGTCGCAAATTAATTTTTCAATATAATCAATGAAGCATGATGTAAAAGAATTGGCATCTCCTTCGTGCCAAAAGTAGCAGAAACCTTCTTTTGTTGCTAGGTCAAAAATAGTATAGTTATGACAACCAAGTTTGGTTTTATAGTACATAGAACTTGCTTCGATCTTTGGACAAAGTAGCAACGACTGCAGATCTAGCGTTACAACTTTGATTGTATCATTGGACTCCGCTAACAGTTTATCATGACATTTTTCGTCCCTGGCACTAGTTTACGCTCGATGTGTGCGTTGTATTCTGCCTCAGTAATATTATCAGTACGGAATATCCGCAACAAATATCGCATTGAACCTTTTTGGGATGAAAAAGGGAGAGATTCAAATCAACAAAAATTGATTTGAAGGCTTTCTTCCCTAAAATTAGTTGAGCTTTTTTACAGCAATAGTCTTTATACACTCTATAAAGTTCAGCGAAATTTGTGAATATCGGTTCGAGGTATGATTTCCTTGACGAAGCCCTGCAATAATTCTTTCTTTCTCTGATCTCTACTTTGTCAACTAATGCAGCTAAATATACCCTTTTTTGATCCCAACTTAAGTGATTCCAAAACCTGTCAAAAATCACCTGCCGACAAAAGATGTACACCCTTTTCGCTTGTCGCAAAGTTTTGAGCAGTTACGAGGACCAAGTGTACGTTCTGATTTATCCGTTGAATAAGTATAATGACTACCAGCATCTTTTTTGACTCCTTTGTAGGATTTCCCTTCCATTCGCAAACGTTTGTGCACATTTTTTGTCCATAGTTTGCGGTTGGCCTTCCCTGGTTTAGCTCGGGATTCTTTAATGGGATGGATGGTTTGGTCAAGTTCTGGAACAGGATTGATCACAACATTATGGTTCTCTGTGTTTTCGTAAGAGTATTCATCAGAACTTTCACCACTTTTTCTCTTACTTGAAGGCACCCAGTCTGGATCCTTGCCATTATCATCATTGTCAGAATCTGCTTCTACTGTTTCAATTGCATCGCCTAATATTGTGTTTTTTGTACCATGGCACAGAGTAGGCTGTTTTATTGGAATCTATAATAGAATCAGTGGGTATACAAGAAGGATTGGGTTCTTCGGGTAGCGTACCGGGTTGGATTGAGAGGTCTCCATTTAATTTATTTGAATTTGTCAAGGCATCCATTCCTCCACTGGCACTACGATTATTTAGCGCTAGATTAACCAAATACCTCCCTCTTGAAAACGGGTGCATTTTTTCATACTACCACGAGTATTAAGTTAAAGTGTACCTGTAATCCTGAAACAAGAAAATAACGGGACTGGATATCACATTAATAGAAAAGGGTATATACACAGAACTGAAGTATATCGCATTATATTGGCCCAGTGGTATACTACAAACGTAGTAACTACCGGTTATACGAATAGCATTATTATCACAATAACAAATAGGCTATCCTCCACTATTTCTAAACCATCGTATATCTACACTATCAAGACTACGTATTAAAAATATAAAATTCTAAAAACGCGTATAAATTTTGTTTTTTACAAAATTTCTCCAAATATTTCTATGAAAGATGACAAATTTCAAGGGCAAATTGCTTTAAAAAGTATCTTAGATATAAAATAAATCAACATCTCAGGGATCTACACATATATCCATTCGGTAGGTGAAAACAGTCGGATTAAACCTTGATCATTTTGACATTTTTCCAATAACACTTTAGTTTTCCTAAATTATCCCTTATTTTCAAAACAAACAAAGCAGAAACATTAAAGATATATGATAAGATAAACTAAGAAACATTTCCTTACCTCCTTATTTGCTACAAATGCTTTAGACAGGAAAAATCATGTAAAACGTGCACTTGAAATTTAATTCGAGTTATACGCGATTTTAGAATTCAGTATTCCACACCAATAGAAATACGAGTTTTCATCACATGATTAAAAATGAGGTTTATAATTGGTCGATATGTATATAACCCAGATCAAAATGTGCATTTCTTAATACTCATTCCAAAAAGACGAAAAAGTGATTTTCCAGAAAATGTCGATATTCGCGGTTTTGGAAGCGCATCGACGATATGGTGTTGTCTTGAAGTTTAAAGAGACGATATGATAATATATCAATTTTGTAAAAAGTAAAAAAATATGCCAAAAATATGATAAGTAGGCTACGGTTTAATTTTAGGTTTCGTAAGCAATTCGTGAAATTTTTAACTGATTGATATAGGGTACGTAGTCGTACGTAGTCTTTTAATTCTTGAGTGATCGCGAATTCGTGGCAGTTTTGAACACGAACTCCCGTTTCCAAAACTCGTAGTTAATTCGTAACCATTTCGTAGTGCATTCTTGGACATCATGATAGATCAGTGGGCATTATCGGCTAAGAATCTGTAACGAATCCCACGAATACATGACGAAACATAAAACCATGAATCGGCTACAAATCTTACGAATCCTAAGATTTATCAATTTGTAGCTAGGCCGATTCGTAGGATTCGTAGCGTGTGTGCAGTAGGAGTGGGCTAGTGGGGGCATCAGACTTAGAGTTAGGCGAATAAATGTGGCAACACTACAGGGTAGAAAGAACAAAGTTATTCCCGTAGGCGTGACAGTGGCATTGCTATTATTAGCCTAGCTCTACTCTTTTTCGATTTTAAACTGCCAAGGCCAACAACTACAAGACAAGCCAAGCCAAGGCGGCAAGGGCAAGGGATCGACTGTGTGTACTAGCTGCTGATGACGAACCTAACATGCTGATTAATGGAGATAAATAAAACTTACAATGGAAAGTGATTCCACGCTTCCTATCTCTGTCTGTCCTGTTGGTACAACCATATGCTGAACAAGACGGCTCGACCCCCCATACACACCCTTGGGATCATATATTATAGAATTTCCACATCCTCATGTCCTGTCCTGTCCTGAATATGCCTAAACGTGGTAAAATCGCATATCTGATGTCGGCAATCGATTTCCCGTCCTCGGAAACATATTATATTTCGACATATTACACGGTGTGCGAAGTCATTTTAGTGATATGTTACCTTTCAATGACGTCATTCTAAAGATGCCATCTTGGATTACTGGCCGCCATATTGTTTTAAAACATCTCAACGTGGTAAAATCGCATATTGTCTGATGTCGGCAATCGATTCCCCGTCCTCGGAAACATATATTTTGACATATTACACGGTGTACGAGGTCATAAGCGGTATATTACCTCTCGATGACGTCATTCTCCAGACGCTGTTTTGGATTTTCTGGCCGCCATTTTGTTTTGTTTCGTTCAAGATCGAGTTCATTTTATTCTCACAACTGTCTGCCACCGAGCTGACCCACGAAAAACAGTTATGAATGGCAGAACACATCAATATGCTTTCCGAATATCCCAGAAACCAATCAAAATAGAGTATTTTCAGGTTTAAGGGTTACCATTTGTAAAATGTCTCTGAACCAACCCTAGGGGTGCCAGAAGGTATTTTTTCTGTCATGTTCGGACTCTACAGGCAATTTAGCCAAAGAAAATGTTTGTCCACAAAAATAATGTTGATTTTAGCAACCGACATGTTGTTTACAACATCAATCATCAACAACAAAGAAATGGTTTTCAGATTCGAGACAATTTAATCACAAATGCGTTTGCTTAAAAAACATTGATGAATATATATATAGTACAATATATATAAACACTACTAAAAATATTTAAATCAATTCATTGTTTTATTTGTAATGAAAGTTTGAAATAGAAATGAATAAACTGAACTATATATATATATAAATTGTCTTGGGCAAACAAAACAATATTTTTCAAAGTAATCACACTAGAAAATCTTTGAGAGTTGTGTATATGGGTTCGTTAGATTCAAAATCGTAACTATTTTGGTCCGCACATTGGTATTTGTAAGAGGCTTTCTGCATCATTTCTAACTGCAACCGCTTTTCTTCAATTTGGAGTCTTCTCTGTTCTATTTCAAGACGTTTTGATTCTATAGATAGTCGTTTCTTTTCTACTTCTAGACGCTCTTTCTCGATTTCCAAAATTTCAGAGTCACGCATCTCTAGATATTCATTGCTAGACTTCCTGCTTCTACGGGCCCGACTTTCAGTTTCATGTTCTTCGACAGTAAAAGCACTTGTAGATGCCACGGATCTCGCTGCGTCATCTTCTAGATCTGTCATCATTGGAGCATCTTCCTGATTAATTTGAACGACTTAATTGGAGTCAAATCCGTCTGTGATTCTCTCTATTGCAGTGTCCCCAATAACCGCAATTGCCTCCTCTTCGTTTGCGGTCAACGACTCAAAATCAGCTCTCCCCCACCCGTTTTCTTCATTTCTTTTCGTCTTTTCCCTTCCTTTGATTAAGTTTTTATTTCTTGCCATTTCTGGAACCATTCTCACAGCACTTGAATTTACACTGTTGACTGCCAAATGTACTTTATCCCCTGCTTTTTTCTTCTTTTGCAGTGTGACAGAGTCACAAAATTTACTGGTAATAATGTCTTTATGTTTTCCAAATTCCGCAATTAAAACTGAGCATTCTTCTTCAGAAAACCTACTTTTCCTTGATTTACCCTTTCCAGACATGTTTCACTGGCAAACTTTGCAGGCAAATTCGGTGGAATCTAAATGTCTCGTAATTATGTTCTTGACACAATGTCACCAAAATGACTATGGACATGCGTGGCCATTGGTTACTCGTTAATCGAGTGCGAATTTCACGGAAAAAACTAGGGGAATCCCACACACCTTAACATATCTTAAATTTAAGGACTATCCAATTTAAGGACTGCTCTCTGATACAGTCGTTAAAGACTGGTTCTTAACCTGTAGCTAACCTGTCCTTAACCGCAAAATTAAGGAATGCTTCGAGAAACAACTATCATGACAGAAAAAAGGAAAACTGAAGCAAAATCGGTCTAATAATGCACAGTCTGGAGACTATTTTTGCACGCTTTTTTCACACTTCTGTTTCGCAAAAATGTTCCAATTAACATTCATTCTAGTGCATTCGGGTTCACAAGTTAACTTTGACCTGGGCTATTAAGAATCATGGACAAAAAATTTTCATCGAAAATATCTCGAATATCTGAAATATAGCTATCACATGCATACAAAGTTTCATCTAAATCGGATCAAAAGTATATCTCGTTAACAGACAAATTCGGAACAGACCGATATCCTCACAGACAGACAACAGTACAATACTTTACCTTATGACGATAAATAGTAAATTTAAATGACAATTTTTTAAACAAACCCCCATTGACGTGGGATATCCTTTATTCTGAATAACCTCCATTTCATTGTTATTAACATTGCGGAATACAAATTATGCGATATGGTACTATTCAAGTGATTGATTGCTAATTGTATTGGGTCTCAACAAAGTATACAAAATCTGTTAAAGATGAGTTCCCTTATTTTCATTTATGAAAATGAAACTGTTAATACTTATATGGATAGAAAGTAGAGACGTTATAATGACTTGGAAAAATACCAGTTTGTCTCACATGTCCACAATTAATTCATAATTAGCAAAATTAGAAGAGAATTACCAACAGAATTCCACTACGTGACCCATCAAGAAAGGTCAAAAAGCCTTTTTTGTTTATCCTGACTGTCCTTACATGAACATTTATTATTGGTTTATTATATGCAATAAGAACATAATGATATGATTAAGAATACATGATATTTCATTAGAAACACCAATTAATCAAATACTTCGCTTAATTTTACACTAAAAAAAGGAGACCCATCTTTAATGAACAGTTGTATAAAAGGTTACTGAATATTTCAAATGCATAGAACCATAAAGAACGATCGATTTCACGACTACAATTATTATGAAAACATCACAGGCACTTTTAGGTGTAGCATTACCGGCAAGGTTGAGGGGTACACAGACCATAACAGCGTAATCCGGGACAATTGGTTTTGCACCAAACAGAGAGTCCGGTAACATTTTGCCATCTTGGGCGAGGGAGATAGCATAGTTTCTTTGAATGATCTTGATTTGAGTACACAGGAAGTCTTTGTATTACTGTTATAGGATTGGAACTGATGGGGTATTTTTTTGCATCCAGCATCAAGCAATAGCATGAACAATCTGCTTTAGGACATGCACTTTTGAAGCACCGTTCAAGACACCACACAATCGTCTTGGTTTTTGACTCGCATCTCAAATAAGTCGAGTTCGAGTAGCAGTATTCAATTTTGACATTAACTCGTATTGAACTGATGACGGATGTAACTGCAGGCGTTGTGGTTTGATGCACTATGTTAGCTGAATTGTCGGTAGAGAGGCGTAAAATATCAGGACTGTACACGGGCAATATTGGTTCAAACAATCCACTATCTGAAACAACAAGTTAAGTCGAGGGTCCGTGTAAAAATATATTTTTTCAATTGTCCCTTGAAAGTGACTTAATAAGAATAAAAGTTGTTAAATGATGACCCTTAGATGTATATGTCAGTTTTAAAGGTTTTCTAATAATAATAAGCGGTGTCTCTGGTTCTACTTTTCAAAGTCTTGAATCACCCAATCCGCGTCAGTTGATCTGAAAAGAAACAATGCCGTTAGTATCCGACAATGTTGAATTTGATGTATATCAAGTTTCATAGATGGCATAACTCTTTCTGAAGCAGCCTACGAAGCTTTCATCAAAATGTACAGAATGATGTAATTATGCTGTAATAAATATACATGTTTATATGTCTAGTATTTTTGTGTATACTTATTTGTCATGTCGTATCGTGATGTATCGATTCTTTTCAAGTTGGGGCACCACCAACATTTAACTTATAAAATATCATAGAATTAAAATCATTGAAATACTATTATCAACTACCTCATTTCAAGTCTCAATTTGGACCGTGTCAGAGTCAGATGAGAATGACAGGGTGCCCGGGTCTGCAAGCCCTGCTAAAACCTTTCAGCAAAAAATCCCATGAGTTAAGTAATACGCCCACAATTGTAATGGCAGCCAAGTCGTCCGGGAGGTCGACAAGAGCTATCAGAAAATGAAACATTCCGAGGGTAACATTTTCATAATAAAGTCTTTTTCTTTTTTTGATTTTCCATAAGTGATGATAAACAATTTCACCAAGTTTCGTCTAAATCAGTCCAGAAGTATGCTTTCTGAGTGTGTGTGAGCTAAAAACTGAACGCTTTTTGTTAAGAACCAGGGCAATAATCCATGTGGTTCATCCTTCTTGTGATAATAAACCATTCCACCAAGTTGTTTTAAATTCTGTCAAAAATGGTGCCTCCTAGAGTGTTTATAAGCTAATAAAGTGAATGCGTCAAGATCAAGAACTCGTATTAAATATTTTCAGATTTTTTCTTTTAATGAGGTTCATCAAAGGATAATAATAATTTCACCAAGTTTCGTCTAAATCCGTCAAGAAACTTAAACTTGGCACGTATAAAATTAAATGAATCTAACCTTTAAAATACGTGTCAGGAATCTGCATACCGTTTCCCCTCGTTGGTTGTGTATTTGCAGATGAAACTGAAATTTTCACCTTAGGGGCATTCATTTGGTTTCCTGGCTTATCGAGCATCAACACGGGGAAAGACTGCTTCACTGCGAAAATATCAACCAAAGAAGTTCGTTGTGTGGTATTTGAGGCATGTCTATCTGTTTGGGTGGAAGTGGTAGTATGTGGCACGGGCGTAACAAAGGTAGTATCTCCTATCTCTGTGATTGTTGTTACATCAGGGTAAACGGTAACTGCAATATTTTCACTTGGTTGTGATGGTTGTGTAGAATTTGCTGGTGGTGCATCTAGATAGCTTGTCTGAGATTCGTTGGTTAAGTTTGATGCATTTTCGATCAGCGTATCCATTTTTATAGATATTGCATTCGATCCTTCGGTTACACCCGAAGCATCTCCAGTTAGAGTACCACTAATAAATAATTTGGATCCAGTTAGCTGAGTTGAATCTCTTATATCGGGTATAGATCCTGGTAGTTGGGAAAGTATACCGATTGCACTTGATATAGTTCCGGGTGGTCGCTTTATTGATCCATTTTGATCTAGATTGCCTTTATATGACTGTGTAGTTGACTTTGTGGGAGATTCAGTAGCAGAAGAAGCAGATGTAATTGTTGCGTTAACTGGGAAAGTTGTTGTGGTACTTGAAGTAGATGTCATCTGCCGATGCTTTGTGGCTTCAATGGTTATATCAGCACAATTGATAAATGTTTCTTGAGGACCACAACCTAAACAATTGCGACAAGAATGCAGATCCCGACCCTCTCTATACCCTGAAATAAACAATGTGAAGTGCAGTGAATGCGAGGTTAAAGTTTAGGTTGGGGTATATAATTATGTTTGTGTATAGGTTAAGATGAAGTTGAAAATCGTGAAAAAGAAAGTGAAATTAGTGAAGGTGAAATTGAATTTCTATATTTAGGCATTTGTGTATCTAAATCACTTACCAGTGACATAGGCCCATTTGAGCACACAGTGTTGACAAAATACATTCACTGGGAGAATAAGTTTCATATTAAACACACCACCACCACTACCAACATAGTAAGTTGAGGAGAACGTGTCCAATATCTGTAGAGGATGCTTATCAAAACATTCATCTAGGTCAATATATTCCTGTCCATTCATGTCTGGGCATAGATAAAATCGGAAATAACCCAGCTGATTTTGATCAGCAAACACAGACACGTTTAGAAATGATCCTTGAGTTACTGTTCTTGTCATGACGTTATTTGCATAGATGCCTGGATATATGTTGTTAGATGGACCAAAGTACGGATCTCCACAAGAGCCGCATCGTCCATTCGCAACTGTCCATTGATACTAAAATAGACAAAAAATATTTGAAACTCCAATATTTTCAATACTTATTAACTGAAAAAACACGAACATAAACTGATAGATTTGATTGAAAAGAAGTGTTAGGTTGAGGCAATTTTTGATATCTTTTTGATTCAATGTAAACCTATAATTCTCCTCATTACATGCCTTCACAATAATTCAGGGAAGTAAAGACCTTATTAAAATGAAGACGACTACGCCCACCTTCATTTATAAAGTACATAATAAGATACATACATGTGTATTTACATTTAATTTTATTGTACACCCACATGTGAAATGTGAAGCGTATATTAGCCGCACCAATGTGTGTCGGTTCGTCAACAGTCTAGAAGGTACTATTTTTGACGGATTTTCACGAAACGTATTGAATCTTATGGAAATTTTCAAAAAATCGGAATTATTTATATTAGTTATTGCTCGTGTTCCTGAAAAGCGTTAATTTTGTATCTCGTCAACACTCCAGAAGGCACAATTCTTAACGTCTTTTGACCAAACTCGGTGAAATTGTTTACAAGGGATGAACCCTATTGAATTCAATCGAAAATAAAAAAAAACATGAAAATATTTATAAAAGTAATTTCTTAATTTTTTAGCTTATAACTTGTAAACACTTTTTGTACATTAGAATGTAAATTCTCGCCGCATTTTGACAAAATTTGGTAATATTCTTCATTCTCATCTGAAAAAGTGTGAAAGAAGTGTATGATTAAAGGTTGAATATTTCATGATGAAATGGTGATTTGTAGTGCCAAATATTCTAATTTAAAATCAAAGCTGCTATTGGCAATCTATCTTTTCAATCGACAAAACGGCGATGTAGTAATATGTTATATATGTTATTTGAAACCTTAATACCTGCTTGATTCACGTCAAAATATATACACATACCTCAAACCCACCACAATTCAAATGATCATCCATAAGATTCTTGGGGACATTATAAATATTATATCTCCAGATACTTGATCTCATGGGTGGCTCAATCAATCGGGCTCTACCACTGACATTTTCCATTAATGCCACGACACATAAAAGGAATGCGAGTAAGTCATCCATAATTCAGTTACATAATTGGTTTTGAACAACTAAAACAATAAAAACAATCGTTAAGTAACAGAATGCATAGGGGATTACAAAACTACGTTCATGGATATGTGAAATCAAATATCTTTATCGGCATATCTATACCAGTGTCCAATAATCAAACTTCGTATACACCTTGCAAAATATTGGGTTAACGTCACGCACTATACATACACTATACAACTACACGTATATCACTAATTAAAAATTCAGTGCATCAAAAACATATGAACGAATAATACAAACTGTTTATGTATGGACTTTCGGTTTTATTGCGCATGTAGTAGTACAAATACATTGATATTTATATTAATGAGAAAATACCTTACGATTAAATTGATATGCTCTCAAATCATATATCAACTCCTAACATATCAATCAAAACGTAATAATATATCTTGTTTTTCACACGAAACACGTACTTAAAGATGTGGTCCCGTCTTTTTATTTACTTGTAATGTATTTAATACTTATTTACGACATGACACTTAAAATAGAAAGACATGTCTTCAAGACTGGAAAATAATCCGTTTGTCTGACAATTAAATGCGTGATAACTAATTACTAGCAAAGGATTAGTCGACAGATTGACAAAGATTATCCAGTCTCGTATGTTTCCTTTCTACAACCGAACATCAACCGACAAAGTTAAAATTTACAAGTCTGCATCTTACTATGTAGACGTATATTGTCGGCACCCTAGTCTGTCCATCCAGTCACATTTCCTTGTATACCCTCTAGAATTCACATTATTTTATCCGATTGGTATTTGTATACATAAACCTAGAATGCAGAACAACTGAAAATAAAATTACACCAGCTTTAACTTTATCATATCACTTTCAAAAACACTCGTCTAACTGAAAGCATTAAGAACAATGCGCGGACCCATCTTTAAATGAATAAAGTTCACGCTTAAAAAGTGGGACAGTCTACTCAAAAGACAATTTAGGAATAATTTTCTTCAATGGGTTATTTGATGTATTGCTCATTTTTGATTATAGATATTTTCGGCATTCGTATTTCTGTTTTGAACACTTCTAAAGAAACAATTCATCATTTTAATATTAATGTAGCATAATAGAAATAAAGGGAGTGTATACATTATAAAATAGAGTAGAGATTATATGGGTAATTTTCAAAATTCGTCATAATTCTTGTCCTCAAACCACAATTCCTAAAATGTTCATTTTTGAAATTTCTTTTAAAATGTAATATAAAACATGGGGCACCGCCTAACAGTTTCAACCCAAAATAATTAATGCCTTAGATCAGTTACATTTTTTTTGTCTTAAAAATATGTCAAATTAGCTGTCCCGGTGGTAATGAAAATTTTTCTGTAAAAAGATAGAATATTTAGATAATAATTTATTAAATCTATGGCTTGAAATCTTCATTTTAAAATCTATTACTGTTTCAGAGAATATTGCCTCAAGAAATAGACTTTTTATTCCCTCTTTCATGTCCAAGTAGCTTGTCCCAAGTTTTATGTCCACTGTGTAACAGGCACCTATTTACTTTAAATAATATGGATTCTATTAAATAAACAGAGTTGTCCCTCTTTCAAGGAATATGATGTCATTTCCTCTTGACCATGCCATTTTAATTTTAAGTTTCAAGACATACAATTTATGAAAAAACAACATTAGGTAACTATGATTGGAGAGTATATTTTTCTCGAATCTTTCCTGTAACATATATTTCTCAGCTCCATGATGTACTTATTCATTTTTGAAAAAAGGCAAAAATCGCTAATTAAAATTGATTTCCATGGACATTTGTTTGGATATTTAGAAGTTATCATGATTTGATTTTTTTCAAATTTAATTCAAATATTTTCTTTCCTGTAACAGTCCACTCCGTAACGGTCAAAATGTTACAGGAAAGACCGGTTTTGTTGCAAGAAAGACAATTCAATGTATAGTTTATATCAAAAGATAATGTTAGCTTGTTTCCATGGCAACTGTTCGGAAAAAATTCATTTCACTTACAAAATGAATATAAATAGCTATTTGACATGTCTACTTAATTCTTTATTAATACATAGGCATAGGGGATCAAAATAAAGTAACATTTGGTAATCTATATGAAAAAAATGTAAGATTGATTAACTTTACTACAAGTTTTTAAATAATTTTCAGATTTTAACAATGCCTATGTCAGGTGCAGAAAGGCAGCGGAAGTTCCGAATGAATAGGGATGCCAATAGTTTTAAGAGGCAAGAGTATTTAGAGGACGAAAAAGTGAGATACGAACAAGATAAACTTAAGGGGAAAATAAAGAGTATAGTAGATATGTCAGAGAGAGAGAAAAGATCAACTAGAAAAATATGGAGAGATCAAAAGAGTAAGCAAAGAATGAATAAAAAGAAATTGGAAAAGATCATTTTGACGCCGCCTAACTCACCTGAGTATATTTCAGAACAACAAATTACCAGTACATCATCAAAGCGGAAAAAAAGTAGAAATATTGCTAAGTGTTATAGGGATAATGCCTTATTACAAACAGAATGGAAAACAGGTCTTGAAAAAAGTTACTCGGACAGAAAAGGAAAAAAAAATGTGGTACTGTTCTGTTCTTATAAAGTCCATATATGAAGCTGAAGTTTTAAATTTAAAACGTGATAAGTCTTTCATGGGTATATGGCAGATGCATGCCTTAGCTAGCATTTTGAAATCAAAGTCTTTTCAATTTAACCGAAATTAGGTAATCAAAATGTTCGCAGAGATTTTCATCGACTATTGATGCCTGGACAAGAAGGGAACAGTTACAATATCTTCCATATCATGTGGACATCAAACAGAAATGATATGGTAAAACAGCATTGGATTCCTAATCACTTTGTTGCTGTTATACCTGTGAAATATGAGAAAATTGAACCAGAATTGCATCCAAATGAATACCTAGGAAAGTATGTTATTGTCCGATATGATGGTAACTTTTATCAAGGAATGGTTATTGATTCGGAAAATAATGAGTTGTACATATAATGTATGCATCAAGTGGGGCGCAAATACAACTGCTTTTATTGGCCAAAGAAGATAAGAGACTTTTGTTGGTACTTTTTTGACAATGTAGTTTGTTGTATAAACGAACCGATAAAAGACAGTAATTCAACATCTCATTATTACGTGGATCAACACGTCTGGCATTCGTTGCAAACGTCAAGTTGTTAGTGATATTTGCAACCAAAATAAAAAAATACCCTAAAAAAATTTAACCTGATTAAAAGATTGCCATCTTTAAAGATTAATAAACGTGCATACAATGAGAGATTTGAACAATTCTTTTCATATTCAACCTTTCAATACTTAATACAGCTTTTGATCTTGCTATGTGCAGCCAGAAAGGAATTTTGACATAGTTCAATAATAATGACTTAACCGACTAAATAATACAAACACTATGACGAAGTTCAGACCATTTGTAATTACAAACAATTAAAAATTAAGCTCTATCAACTAGCATTCCATAAAGCAATCTTTATATTCTTATGATCAGTTGTTGTCCACACTGTTACGAGTATGTCTTTCCTGTAACAGTACATTCCAAGCATATGTCTTTTTCGATATTCCACTCCATTGGAAGTGACCACATTATCACATCAAGGATACAGGATCGTGAATTAAATCTTTGAAAACTTAAAAATACATTTTTGAGGATGTTGCCTGAACATATTGTAAAATTTGTCCACACTGCTACAAATTTGGTCCTTCCCATAACATGGCCGTCTTTACAGTAACAAGCTCCTTTTGGTGAAAATTGTTGAAAATATCAATACGAGATATTTTATATGAAATACATTTTAATCAACATAAAACTCAAATTCAGTGGAACCAAATATGGTAAAGGGTAATCGGAAACAACTGGCACAAACTTTAAGAATGAGATATTGTACAATTTTTCAAAATCTTATCTTATTTTGAACTATAATTTTAAGGAATTGCCCAATAGTTAAAATTTGTCTTTTGTGGCCACGACGGTTGTGTGTTTCATAAAGTTCTGAAAGAATTATTATAAAAAGTGAAATACAATTACAAAATTTTCATAAAAGAATGTTTGTAACAGGATGGACAATTTTTTGAATTAACGCGGATTTGAAAGGCAAAATTGTATTGAATTGTTGCAGATATTTTGTATATATTTTACAAACTCATACAGAAGAAGTTCTATTACCATTATAAGGTGGAAAAAAGGCACATTTTTTAATTTAAAATTGTTCAAATTTACTTTTGATATTTTGATGAATTTTGAAAATGACCCATATATGTATTCCATTGTCTGGTAACTACGGACAGCACTGGATAGGATTTGCATAGGATTTTCTGCATTGTATGACATAAACGTAACGTCATACTATGGCACTTATGCAAATTAGCTTTATTTTTTGCAAGTTATAATAGCAAAGCCCCTGTCGCACCGTACCAAAACGTTTAGTATGAAGTCAATCGATCTGAAATTTATATGGGGAAAAACTGTCAAATGTGTTTTCAGAAGTTTTGCATCATTTCCAGTTTTTGCAAAAATGCCTTCAAAGTCAGTTTTTCAACTCTTTACTTTTCATAACTACGCCCAAAAACACATGCAAATCATTAGAAATGTTATTCAAATCAAAATAAGCGAAAAAAATTGGACCAGTAGCGTCAAACAAGCCGCCATTTGGTTAGCGTAATATTTCTTAAAATCGATATTTCTCCCTCATATGTTATCCGATTTGCATTTTTTAAGTACCAATCGAAACCTTAGACTCTTTGCAACAAAGTTATTACATTGAATTTTGAATTTTGATTTTGGTTTTTATTCCTGAATTTCAAATTTGTTCAATAATTGAAGTCTTTTTCTTTCTCATGACCTTAAGTTTCATATAGCCGAAAGTTTAAGACAATATGGTAGTTTAATTTTTCGTTTCCGACGTTAACTTCGGTTTTATAGGCGCTTGAAAATTGTGTATAATCAAACTCTAAATTTGATGG